AGGGGGAAGGGGGTCTACCGGAGGGGGACCAGGAGCAAGGAAAAGCGGCGGGGGAGGGAGGGGGGCAGTGCGGTAGGGGAAGAGACGGTAAAAAGGGACCGACTCGTCAAAGGTGACGTCCTGAGAGGCGAAGACCCGGCGCGAGGTGGGGTGGTAAAACTGCCAGCCCGGCGCGTCAGGGACAAAGCCAAGGAAGACACAGGGAAGCGTGCGGGAGGAGAGCTTGTCCGCGGACGTATCGCGGACAAGGGCACGAGCACCCCACACCCGGAAGCGCGACGCATCGCCAACCTCCCCCGTCCAACGCAGTGTGGGCGAGGTCTCCGGCAAGGAGACACGGGGCCAGAGGTTGAGCTGATGCGCGGCGTACCGGACAGCAAACGGCCACAGAAAATGGGGAGCCGCCGCGTGGACCAAGGAGGTACGAGCGACCTCCATGACCAGGCCAATGCGGCGCTCAGCAACCCCATTCTGCTGTGGGGAGTCCGGAAGCGTGAAGGTCTGCTCGATGCCCTCCGCCTGACAGAAGGTCCTCAAGAGATCGGAGGAAAACTCACCACCTCTGTCAGAGTGCAGACGCAGGACAGGAAGATCCGTCCGGAAACGGCGGCGGAGCTGGAGACGAACTGTGCGGATCCAAGGGATCAGAACAGCAGGGACCTCACCCTTGGTGCGCAAGGGGAAGACCGTGGTGTAACGCGAGTAGTCGTCGACAACCAGCAAAAAGTACCGCTCACCGCCCTGGCCACGAACGCGGGCTGGGCCCCACACGTCCAGGTGGAGGGTCTGCAGAGGAGCCTCTGTCGGGGGGAACGAGGAGGAGTGAGGAGCGGCGCGCTGCCGCCCCTCGACGCAAGGAAGGCAAGGCGGCGCAGGCGAGGCAGGGAGGGGAGGGAGGGACCTGGGAAGACCAGACACAAGGCAGCGACGGTGCATGCCACGGAGGCGTGGCAAGGAGGGGTGACCCAGGCGGTGGTGCCAGAGAAGAGTCTGGTGCGACAGGGAACGACACTCACAGGCGTGGGCCACCAGACCTGACGCGGACACCTGACCGACAGCAGCAACCTGAGGAGACGCAGTGGTCAGTGTGTAGAGACTCGACCCCGGCCGACGGGTAAACGTAGCCAGGTGACGGCCGGTCCTGGAGCACGTGCAGATCGCCACACGCTGTCCTCCAGGGGTAAAGGTGTCAACCCACTGATCCTGGATGACAGCGTTGCTCACCAGGTTCGTCGAGAACAAGGGGAGGTGGAAACCCGACAACGAGCCAGACGGAACCGCCGGACAAGGGAGCACAGTGGTGGACTGGGCAAGGACTGGGCCCCCAGAGGGGTCAGCCAAGGAGACTGGGACCGGTGCAGGAAGCGGTGTGAGCTCAGTACTGTCACGAAAGAAACAGCGGGAAGCACCTGAGTCAAGGGTGAAGGTGTGACAGGCCTCAGCCGGTGCGGTACCTGAGAGAGCAGTCTCTGTGGGTGCTGTACCTGAGAGAGCAGACTCGCAAACAGCCGGGACAGCACTGGAGGGAGCAAGTACAGGGGGCACCATACCAGAGAGAGCAGACTCACTAGTACCCAGGGCAGCGGGCTCTATACCTGGGTCAGGCGGCACACACAAGTAACAGTCTCCCTCGGCACTAACAGTCAATGCATACATGGCAGCAATAATAGCATCATAGTCAAGAGCAAAGATATCAACACCAGCCCTCATGAGCTCAGCCCAGCGGGGGCGCTCAACATCCTCGCCCATCTCCTCACGCCAAGCGTCGTCAAGGCGGGAGAAGCAGCGGTACGGGGTGTGGAACCTCCCACACGTCTGCCCCTTGCGGTCACCTGTGCGAATGACATAGGAACAGCGGCCACTGCCCCCCGACGTCCCACGCTGAGCAAGCCACTCACGAAGCTGTTGGGTCGTCTGGGGACGCTGCTGCTGCTGGGAGCTCTGGCCCGAGCCAGTGCCTCCACTCCGACCTCCACCGCCACCACTACCACCGCTCCGACCGCCACCGCCACCACCGCCACCACCGCCACCGCCGCCACCGCCGCCGCCGCCACTACTGCCACTGCTTCCTCCGCCGCCCCCGCCTCCACCGCCGACCCCACTCCCACCAGCGCTCCCGCCACCGCTCCCTCCAGCACCGCCTCCCCCCCCACCTCCCCCACCTCCTCCCCCCCCAGCGCCACCCCCGCCACCCTTGCCCCCCTTGCCCTTGCCGGTGCGGCGCCTCCCACCAGGAGCAGAAGCAGCGCCAGCAGACTCAGCACCAAGGAAGTCAACAGCAGCAGCAGTAGCGTAGGAGGGAGCGAGGGGAGAGGGAGAACACCCCTCAAAGATGGGGGTGCGAGGAGCGCCACGAGCAGCACCGACAGCGACAATGCTCTTTTCGGCCGCTAGCAGCTGCTCCTCTAGGAGGGCGACTGTGAGCTCAGTGGGACAGCGAGCAAGGAAGTGGTCTCGAACTGAGCTGAGGGTGTCAGGGAGACGGGTGACTATGAAGTGGAGTGTCCAGTACAGTGGAGGGGGATTCTTAGCGCAGAACTCGGTGGGAAGGGCGGCACGCAGGCGAGCATCACTAGTGCGAAGGTGAGTGATAAGATCGGCGACTGTAGCAAAGGTGGACAGCTCAGGGAACAGGTAAGGCAGCATGAGGCGGCTAAGCTCGGCTGTGGCAGGCGAGGAGTAGCGAGCAATGACAGCATCGTACAGGGCCTTAGCGGATTTGCAGTCGCCAAAATGCTCGAGCTCAGCTAGCGGCAGGTGACTGCGAATGGCTAGGCGAGCAGCTGCGTCACGAGTCTGCCAGTGGGAACGAACACTAAGCTCAGCTGTGGCAGGAGGGGCAGGTGCAGCACCAGACGCGTAATCATAGAGCGACACATGCTCCTTGCTATCGCTCAGAAGGAACAGCTGCAGGTCATCCAGCCAAGTGGCGAACTTCACAGGGCGGCCCTCAGCATCGAACGACAGCACGCGGATGGAAGCCATAGCGACAGTGCGACTGAGCAAAGGAAGCTGCCGCAGCGCTGCAGGTAGGTAGCTCGGCGGGAAGCGCGGCGGGCGGGCGACGCGGCGAGCGGGCAGTGCGGGGGGCGGGCTGCGAAGCGGGCAGCGCGGTGCTGCAGGCGGGAAGTGCGGCGGGCGGGCTGCGAAGCGGGCAGCGGGGCGGGCGGGCGACGCGGCGAGCGGGCAGCGCGGCGGGCGGGCTGCGAAGCGGGCAGCGGGCGGGCGGGCGACGCTGCAAGCGGGCAGCGGGCGGGCGGGCGACGCTGCAAGCGGGCAGCGAGGCGGGCGGGCGACGCTGCGAGCGGGCAGCGCGGCGGGCGGGCTGCGAAGCGGGCAGCGGGCGGGCGGGCGACGCTGCAAGCGGGCAGCGAGGCGGGCGGGCGACGCTGCGAGCGGGCAGCGCGGCGGGCGGGCGACGCTGCGAAGCGGGCAGCGGGCGGGCGGGCGACGCTGCAAGCGGGCAGCGGGCGGGCGGGCGACGCTGCGAGCGGGCAGCGCGGCGGGCGGGCTGCGAAACGGGCAGCGCGGTAGGCGGGCGACGCTGCGAGCGGGCGGCTCGGCGGGCGGGCGACGCTGCGAGGGGCGCGCGAGGGCGCTAACGAGAGGCGCACGAGGGCGCTAACAAGGGGGCGCGAGGGCGCTAGCGAGGGCGCGCGAGGGCGCTAACGAGAGGCGCGCGAGGGCGCTAACGAGGGCGCGCGAGGGCGCTAACGAGGGCGCGCGAGGGCGCTAACGAGGGCGCACGAGGGCGCTAACGAGGGCGCACGAGGGCGCTACGAGGCTAGGGCACGGGGTAGCGTGGTAACCGCATGCGAGCGGTGGTGGGCCCTTAAAAAAAACGGTCGGTAGGTCCTAGGGACCTCCTGCTCTGAATACCATGTTAACAGAACTAGGCAAGAATGGTGCATTGAAAGAAACAGTTGGGTACAAGTAGCTAACCCTAGTTGGGTTTGTACCCTGTATTGGCTACCCCACTACAGCCTACCTACATATAAATAACACATTACAACTTAACATTGTGCACATTTATGGAATTGACTTGCTCCTTTCTCGTCCTTTTGTCCAGACCGAGTATCCTTTGGCAGGAGGAGCAAGCAGGCTTAGTAAGTCAACAAGGCCTAGTAAGTCAGTAAGCACCAAGAAGTGATTTCTACAAGATGGGGGAGAATAAAAATTGTTGCGGAAGATGCTTCTTGTTAAATACCGTATTATCCTCTGTTGGGTGTTCGTATCAAGGTTGGCTTGTTGCTTAGGAGGAGAAATGCTTTGGGAATGTTGGATCTTCATAGCAGGTTTGGGGTTCAAGTTGGTTGCAGAATTGCACACTTTCATAAACACATCACACTGAGGAGATTATTTAAAGTGCAAACTTCTGTATCAAGGTTCATAAACCACGAATGCACTTCTCTTTTCATTTTTACGAGTAATGAATGATCTATTAACTCGCTTGTTCTTCCAATTCCACCGCCTCCTGCGGCAGCCAATGAATCTCCTGAGTACGCGGATCGAAGAAAATTGAGATTCCATCTCCCTCGCAGCCGTCTTTTGATTGGGTTCGGGCTGGCTCTGTGGATTGCAGTACGGCGGCGGATCAAAATTGGGTTCTTGGGACTTCGACAGCGTGATGAGTTTGTTTGTTTGTTTGTTTGTTTTTTTTTTTTTTCAGACCGAGAATCGCAAACTGCTTTCTTTCCGCGTCACAAGTCTCTATCCCGGGCATCTCGAAAACTGCATTATTGCCCTTGAATTATCATCGCACCGAAATTCACATTCAGCAGCCGAACCAGAGCAGGTTTGCGAGTGCCCTCGCCCATTTCGCGGCAGTAGGCAGGAACTGATGTCCCTCAACGTCGCGCTCTCGTTTCTTGGCCCATGCGAATGGACTCATCCCGTCTATAAAATCCTGCCACAAAGCATGCTCTAACCATCAAACTCAATTCATATTTCCTATCTCAGTTCTCAATCGCTCCCAGCTAGCCCACCACGCTACAACGCCAATGGCTCGCGCCATTCTCTCCGTCGGCATCGCAATCTTCCTCGCTGCAATTCTGGCGCTCTCTTTCGCCCAAGGTACGGCCATATACTCTTTCAGAAGGCCTGTGATTGTTTCCTGGCGCCGCGCTTATTCAAAGCGAGTCGCTTTCGCCTCCACTGCAGCATCACACGTAGTTCAACGCGATTTCCACATCACTCGTTTTTTCCACGTACAGCCTGTGGCAGCTGAAGAGCGGGTCTGACACCTCGACTAAAAATACCCGTCTGGCGCTTGTGTGTTTAGTTGCCCGCGGCACTTAGTTCCCTCTGCCTGACTCGTGACTTCGTGTAGATGTCCTTCCCCCCTGCATCGACCGCGCAATTCATCTTGTGGCACGGCTCCCCTTAATCCCCTTAATCCTCCGCCAATCCCCTATCCGCCACTCACTCCCTTTAGCCCGAGGCACACTACCCTCAGTCTCACTCCCCTCAGTCTGCCCATTCATCTCCACCTCACTCTTCCCAGGGCTTCTCCGCTTCACATTCTCTCCGCCCTTCCTCTCACTCCCCTGCCCCTTCCAGGAACGAACGCCGAGGCGGCAGGCGTCTTGACAGCAGAAAACGCGGCGAGTACTGCCCTGCTCAACGAAGTGCCGCGCAAGGCGCAGCTCCATCGCAAGCTCATTGAGTCATTCGCCGATGGTATGATGATGGGAGCCGGTCTACTTGTATGGACAAACCAAACGTAGACAGAACGATCACAGGTTATCTGCCGGTCCTCCCTGCATTCTAACCGCCTTTCCAGTGTGCTCTTTCCTTTTCTCCAAATGTCCTTGCCTTTTCCAAATGTCCGTGCCGTGGCATGGGATGATTGCGAGGCAGCAGCCTTTTCACTTTCCAGCAGCAACGAGACTTTTCCCGCCTTGATGGCGCGTTTCGTCCGGCAAAGGCCGAGATCATTCCCTACCCAAGCTCCTCAATTTTCCTATCCTTCCTTCTGCCCTCACTGGGTGGTCCCCCTTACCACCAGCTTCCTCATGCCAGACGGAGCGCGCGCGGAAAGTTCAAACGTGCTACTCAATGTACCGGAATAATCCGAGCGTAGCCGCGAATTGCGCTCGCAACGTTTTGCAGATGTTTCCCTGCCCTGACACGTCGCAATCGGTACGTCACACACATGGGGTATGGGCCATGAGCACTGTGGTTGTCATGTGTATATCCCTTCCCTTGTTTCGTTCTGTCGCTCTCACATGCCAAATGATCCGATGTGCCGCTCTCACATACCAGATGCATCCGGCGTCCCTGGTTTCCCGCTCTTACATAGCTCATCACATGCCATATCTCCTTCCAGTTCAGGGTAGACCACCTCACCTCTGTGTGCACATCTGTTTGTCTGACCTGCTCCCTTCCCTTGCCCCTTCTTAGCCTTAAAAATGGTGCACCAGGGCCTCACCTGTGATTCAGAAGTTCTATGGAACCTACCGTACTCCAGAAGTGATATTTCTTCTTTTGATGGTGGTTTTAGCTAGTGATGATGCTATTTTGGTCTCGAGTTAGTATTTTGTTGTGTGTTATGTGTGCCACATGACATGATGTTTACTTTATGGGGTAGATGTGTGCTTAGAAGAGGGAGCACCTGGAGCTTGTGTGCTTGATCTGAATGTGTCTACTGTTGTAGGGTGATACGAAAAGCATCTGACAAAGCATTTGGAGCGTGTATCTGCTGCTTTTTATATTCTGATGATACATCCCTACTTTTGCCACCTACGGTAGTATTGACTTGGGCCGACACACAAGCTTGAAATTGTTGAGAAAAAAAGTAAGATCGCAAGCTAAAGAAACGTTACTCGAGCACAGTAATGTACGGTCCAAGTATTCGCACAAGGTGAGAAATTAAAATTTCCTGTCCTACGGTATGCCCGAGCCAGTGAATCAACGCCTTGGCACTTCGCCTGAGTCAGGCCACCCTCACGCCTCGCGCCTGCGAGTACATAAAAGGTCACTGTCCCACTGCCAGACCACATGACTCCACGCCTTGGAGCCTTTCACGTGTCACGCTTTCAAGTACTTGTACTCCCCAGCAGGTCAACTCATCCCACTCTCTCAGACACCTCCACGTGCACTCTGCTTCCACCGTTTATTGCGGCGCCGTTTATCACCTTCACAACATTGGCGGATGGGCTTTGGAAGCAAACACCAACTTCATTCACGCTGCCATCTTTGTTTTTGGATAGTTGTGAGAGGTCCTTCAGCAATTCAATTTGTCTCACGAACTCCGCTGGAAAGTTCGACCATATGTAAGCACAGAATGCAACTTCCGCTTTCATTTATCGCTGTAACGAATATTCGTTTACTGCATTCCAACTTGTGCTTTCCACCGCCAATTGCGGCATCCAATCGGACTCCTATGGCGCGTTGGATCGATCTTCCCCAGGGAACGTGTCAGAGGTCCACTGGAGATCCCCGATTGATCATAGGGAAGGGTTACAGGCACGTCGGCGTGGGGGGTTATGGGCGCACTCACCCGCTACACAAACAAGCCCTTTTATCCCAGTGGTTAGTGGCTGGGATTCTGACATGGTATCAGAACGAAGGTCTCGGGTTCGAATCCCGGTGTATGCACCTCGGGCATCCCAGTGCGGGGGGGTGTCAGAGGTCCACTGGAGATCCCCGATTGATCCTAGGGAAGGGTTACAGGCATGTCGACCTGGGGGGTTATGGGCGCACCCACCGCTACACAAACAAGCCCTTTTATCCCAGTGGTTAGTGGTTGGGATTCTGACAGAACTGTTAACAGAACTAGGCAAGAATGGGTGCATTGAAAGAAACAGTTGGGTACAAGTAGCTAACCCTAGTTGGGTTTGTACCCTGTATTGGCTACCCCACTACAGCCTACCTACATATAAATAACACATTACAACTTAACACACCCCCATAGGCAAAGTGGGGGAGAGCAAAGGGTCACAAGACCAGTCCAGCAAAGCAAAAACAAGCCCAGGGTGGATCACAACGTCACCACACTCCGAGCACAAACAAAGGCCACAAGGCCAGTTCACATGTAGTGCTAGATATAGAACAGGACAAGCAGCAAGACAAATATAAAGTACAGTACAAAGAATGTCAAGCAGTGAGCAAGTGAGGAAACGTGGACACAAGGCCTAAAGAAGTACAGTGCCGCTGATGATCACTAGGCGGGAGCGCCTTGGTGAAGATATCAGCAGTGTTGGCCTTCGAGTCCATGTACACAAGCCGAAGCTGACCGCGCTGCTGAAGCTCTCGAGCAAGAAAGTAGCGAAGAGCAATGTGCTTCGTCCTGTGCTCCAGTCTGTGCTCCTGACACAAGGCAAGAGCCGCCTTGTTGTCACCGTACAGAACTGGAGGAGAACTAGGCCGCTCTCCCAAGTCAGTCAGCAGGTAGGTGAGCCAGCGTAACTCCTGTGCAGCCATGGCTGTGGCGTAGATCTCAGCCTCACAACTAGAGCCGAGAACAGAAGAAGAGCGGGTGGACCGCCACGAGACAGAACCAGAGCCAAGGCTGAAGGTGTAACCCTGTGACGACCGCTGCGTAGCCAGGTCGTCCACCCAAGAAGCGTCCGAGTGACCAGTGAGGACAACTCTGTCGCGTCCTCCAAGCACCAGCCCCATGCCTGATGTACTGCACAAGTAACGCAGCACCCTCTTAGCAGCCTCCCAGTGCTCTCGCCTGTGTCTCCCAGGCGCAACGTAGCGAGCAAGGATGCTAAGTGGGTACGCGAGGTCAGGTCGCGTGCAAGTCATCAGGTACATGAGGCAGCCTACAAGCTCTGGGTACGGGCCACTCGGCTCTACGGACTCGTCCGAAGGTGGAGCTGAGAGCGAGTGGCTGGTAGCCAGAGGTGTGGCCTGTGGTGAGGAGAACTGGAAGCCAAAGCGCTGAAGGACCTGCTGCACCATGTGTGACTGAGTCAGGGTGATGGTGCGGCGAGCTCTGTCCCGGGTGATCTGCAAGCCAAGGTAGCTACGCAGTTCACCCAGGTCAGTGCAGGTGTGTCTCTTTTGCAGCTCCGACTTCACACGAGCGAGTGCCTCAGTGTCAGCAGTAGCAAAGACCAAGTCGTCGACGTACACGAGAATGTAGAACGGCGGCAGCGACGTGTCTGTGCGCAGAAACAGCGACGGGTCAGCAGTAGACGGCGCGAACCCAAGAGCCGCAAGTGTAGCCCTCAGTGTGTCGTGCCACTCACGTGGCGCCTGGCGGAGACCGTAGACTGGCCGGCGGAGGCTCCACTGGGTACCAGGAGGAAACGACCCAGTAAAGCCAGGTGGGCGGCGCAGCCAGATCTCCTCGTGCAGGCTGCCCTGCAGGAACGCTGTGCTGAAGTCAAGAGAGTGAAGCTCGTAGTCACGCTGAGCAGCAACGTGCAGCAGAACCCGAAGAGTAGTCATCTTCGGGGTGGGGGAGAAGGTCTGGAAGAAGTCGACCCCCTGACGCTGACTGAAGCCTCTAGCAACGTAACGAGCCTTGAAGACAGGCGGAGAACCTGGCGGCCGCTTCACCCTGAAAATCCACATGCCATCGACGATGTTCGCCCCAGGAGGGGGAACCTCGTCGACGTAGGTGCCTATGGACTTCCAGGATGCCATCTCTGCGTCCATGGCTGTCTGCCACTGAGAGGAGTAGGGACCCGAGATCGCCTCTGCGTAAGTGCGCGGAGTGGGGATGTCTAGTGCATCCGGGTCTCCCTCAGGGGCAAGCAACCAGGCCACGAGATGAGGTACAGCAGCCGCGAGAGAGTCAAAGTCCTCCTGCCTGTCCTCAAGGACGTCCGTGCCAAGAGCACACTCACCCCCGACGGACGGAGGACAGACAGACTCAGACTCAGCAACAAGACTGGCGGCGTAGTCGAGGCGACAGGCAGCAGCAAAGTCGACAAGCTCAGCGACCAGGGCAGACGCAGCAGAAGACTCAAACGACGGGTCAGTGACAACAGTGGCGAGAAGACGCGTGACAGTAGGGTGGGCAGCACGAACACTGTCAGACTCAGGGTCGGGAACGTCAGGAAGAGAAGACGCAGGAGGAGACGGTAGGGGGACACGCTGTGGACCAGTGGAAGGACGAAGTGCCATAATGTGCGTGCCAGGAACAGGAGGAGGACGCGGACGCGCGACACGACGGCTAGTGGGACCAGTGCGAGCAGTGCGAGCAGCGCGAACCGGCGAGGCAGGACGAGACGCAGGCTCACGACGCTCCGTAAGCGAGTCCGGCTGCGCCTTATAAGGCACAGGAGCAGGGAGGGGGGAGCCAGGCTGAAGGGGAAGGCCAGTGGAAGACGGGAGGGAAAGAACCTGGCGAAGCACCGTGTCAGGCGGCGGCAAAGCCGACGGCGACGGAGGAGCGAAGAACAGGCGCGACGGCGGAGCTCCGCCAGCACCTCCAGCACCCGGAGCACCAGAAGCACCTGGACCAGCACCCTCCGCCGCAGCACCCCCCGAGTCGGCGACGTCAGCACCAGAGGCCCCAGCAGCGTCAGACCTCCCCTCGCCAGCACCTCCAGAACCAGCAGGACCACCGTGTCCAGAACCGTCAGCTCCAGCGTCGTCAGCTCCAGCAGCTCCAGTACCGCCAGGAAGAGCACCCCCAGACGCAGCAACCCCAGGCTCCGTAGGCTCAGTAGCAGCACCCCCAGGCTCAGTACCCTCAGGCGCAGTACCCCCAGGCTCGGCACCCCCAGACTCCGTACACGCAGGCTCAGCACCCCCAGTCGTAGCACCCCCAGGCTCAGCACCCCCAGGCGCCGAACTCCCAGGCACAGTACCCTCAGCTCCAGCACCCGCAGTCCCAGCACTCCCAGGCCCAGCACCCGCAGGCTCAGCACCCCCAGGCTCAGCACTCCCAGCAGCACCACCTGCAGCAGCACCTGAGTCACCTGTGACCTCGACAGGCTCAGCGACGGGAGGAGGGTCTACCTGAGAGACACCTGAAGGAGCAGGACCCTGAGGGGGAAGGGGGTCTACCGGAGGGGGACCAGGAGCAAGGAAAAGCGGCGGGGGAGGGAGGGGGGCAGTGCGGTAGGGGAAGAGACGGTAAAAAGGGACCGACTCGTCAAAGGTGACGTCCTGAGAGGCGAAGACCCGGCGCGAGGTGGGGTGGTAAAACTGCCAGCCCGGCGCGTCAGGGACAAAGCCAAGGAAGACACAGGGAAGCGTGCGGGAGGAGAGCTTGTCCGCGGACGTATCGCGGACAAGGGCACGAGCACCCCACACCCGGAAGCGCGACGCATCGCCAACCTCCCCCGTCCAACGCAGTGTGGGCGAGGTCTCCGGCAAGGAGACACGGGGCCAGAGGTTGAGCTGATGCGCGGCGTACCGGACAGCAAACGGCCACAGAAAATGGGGAGCCGCCGCGTGGACCAAGGAGGTACGAGCGACCTCCATGACCAGGCCAATGCGGC